GTAAGCCGTTGAAATTTATGTTTCAGTAACAATGCTTTCACAGTATAAAATATGTAAAACCTTTAAGTGAATAATTATAAAGCCGTTATAATACAATATAATTGTTAAACACTGTGTTCGTCAATTTAAGTTTTTCATCGAAAAGTGATACTGTATTTTGTTTTTTTATACGCTTTGATAATGTATTCACATACTTTGATTACAATACTAGTTTGGGTTACTGTAATGTGTAATACACGCGCTGTGGTGGATGTTACGAGCGAATTAGAAAAATCGCAACTAGCTAATCAATTAAACACGTTGCTACATCATAAGGGATGGCGGTTATTGGAAAACGTTAAAATCAAACATTATAGCGAAGAAGATAACTCGGATCCTATGACCGTAACACTCGAAGCCATTACGTCGTACCGGAACCCGGTCGACGAATCCAACGTCCTGATAAGATACAAGGAGATCTGGACTGTGCTCATGTGTAAGTACAGTGACATTATACTTAAGTACAGGGTTCTCATAAGTCTTTTTATACTGGTTTGCCAAGACGAGAAAGGTACGCCTGACTCGTTTCAGAGGTATCACAATTGTTTTCGTGTGCTGCTGATCAAACTCCACAGCATGACGCCGAGGTTTGAATGTATGACAAACGCGTTAGACTTTATTTACTCGCTAGTTCCGCATTCGAGAGCTCAGCAGGGTGTAGTGCTCGCCACTCGAAAGTTGACCGAGTTTACTTCAACTATAATGCCGACAACTTTGTCGAAATTGTCCAAACAAGTTATCGACGAGAACGTGGTCGATCACGAAATGAAATGTATAAACGAACGTTTATTGGCAATAGTCAAAAATAGCATCTATAGTTTTACCAAACGTTGTTGCATGCGCAAGTCTCACAGAGATTTGACTACAAAGAAATTTTACAACGATTTGGAGTTCAAGAAGGACATTGAACTGATACCAGAGGAAACGACCATGGTTCAATATTTAGCTGATGAAATCGATTCTTACGTTAGTGAAATCTTGGACAGTTGTTTCTTCGATTTGGGCTTCAGATACGCGGCGGAGGAAAAAGTTACAATCGGGACTAATTATTAAAATATTATTAGCACCGAAGGGAAACACCGATTAATCTAGATGATATCATGTTTTTCTGACTTATCAAATAAAATGTGTTAACGTGTTTTTTTTTTTTACAACCTGATACGTGTTCAATTAGACTAAAGTAGTTACGAAAAATAATTAACTTTATAAAAACATCATTGTCACCCGATTTTAGAAAATTTTAATAAAGATAAAATAAGATATACAACTGGTGTTTGTCATTTACGAAATAATTAACATTATCTTTATTAATTTAGACCTAAAAATTTTTATTCTCCTATTGGGTGAATAGTCAAAAAACTATAAGGTGTTACCACTTACCACTTTGTAAACATTATTTATTTTACTTTTAATTTAAATTTAATTGTAACTGTACGGGTATATTTTACTTACACTGTACTTACAACTACATATTAAACTATAGTTTTGATATATAATTTTTAAAATTGATACATTCAAGTTAAAAAAAAATATAATATAACAATATTACTTATTTTTAAACTTGGCATTATTATTATTATACTCATTTAGTAGAATACGTTTCTAGTTCCACATTACAATAAGTATTTAATCCACTTAATATAAATTGTCCAGATTTAAAAAAAAAAATACATTTCAAACGCAGAACTGGGATAATGTAATTAGATTCTTTTTAGATGTTACATGCATACTATTTATTCTCGTTTGTTTACATAGGTTATACAGTTTTAACTTCGTAGCAAAGCGGAGAAGTTATTAATTTTTACTAATACCTTTTTAGGCTTTTTTTGTGTCTGTAAACACTGTAACTTTTTTAATACTGAACCAATTCCTTTGAATAGAAAATCTATAAATCACAAATTTTATGTAGTTGGTAATTTGGAGGGGGCAAAAGTTGATAATATTAACTTCTTCACATTTAAAATTTGAAAAAAAAACATACAAGTTTTTAAGTCAAAAGTTCTGACTTGAATTAAATTATTTTCAAGTTTTTTTATACTAGGGAAAAAGTTTAACGTCGATCCAATCCGAACGAAGCTAAAAATATTGTACGCAATTTTGAAGTATTTATATTTGTGGAAAATTGAACAAGTTACAAGTATTAATTTTGGATGAAGCCAAAAATGTCAAGTTAAGTTATTAAGTATTTACTTATGCGATTAAAAATAAACCATATGAGTTTATAAGTTACAAATTTTACTGGCTATAATTTCAAGAAAAAGAATAGGATCGAGTTAAAAATGTATACAGAATATTTATTTGGTATGCCTGCACGCCTATTGTATCAAATTTAAATTCACCCATTTCCCGATACCCTTAGGAGGGTGGGGTGCAAGTTTTTTTATTTTGTGGGTTTTTAGCCGTAATTTTAAGAATTTTAGGTTGAATATTTTTCAGTAGTTAGAACTCGTATGTATCCATAATGTATAAAAGGAAGAAAATATTTGGCACTACAGATTTTCTTTAGTTGCCGGAAAACTGCGTTTTTCGCAGATTTTGTTTATTTTATCAAAAACACCTAAAATCTTAAAACAATTTTATCAGATAATTACAACAGTTGTATGTAGATCTATGCAGAATGATACAATTAAGATTTGATACTCAAGTGCCACTGTTAAGTTTTAATTTAATTTTTTTATTAATTAAGTTTTTTTTGGCCGAGTACAAACATGGTGTACCAGATGTTGGTAACGTCGACCCGTGTGTGGTGTAAGAGTTAATGTTTAATCGAACCGAAACGGTCGGTATCATAATATTGTGTTTATTACATGAAATCACAGAAGACTAAATCGTGTATCTGATTACAGTAGATAATATACTATTCATTGGGAAAAAAACGGATTCGTCTTTTTATTAAGACACTTAATCGTTCTGAAACGGCAAATTCACCACCGTGTCTTGTTATCTCGTTGTTTTATCGACCGCGGCCGACCATACCGAAGGTAAACTATGAGTATGAGCAAATTATGAAGAGGACTGTTATGTTTTGGATCCAGATTAAATGTTTGTTTTTATGCAGTCTACCTATCCAAAATTCATTTTATAATACACAATCTTTTTAAAGGAACACTAATATTTTGCATATTGTTATATTGTTAATTCATTTAAAAATATTCACGCTAATTTTTTTAAATTATCCAGTTTCAGATAATCTGCTTCGTTCTTTTTTTAATTTTCTAGTTAATCAACTTGTAGCTCTGATTTTATATAACATATTTCATTATATTTGTCCAATGTTTAAGTACGGATATATATTAAAAATAATTAAAAATCACGATTGATAACACTTTATATTACAACTAGATCAAATCCCGTGAAAATTTAACTTTGTGATACTGGTCCTATACTATTATTAAAAAACACAAAGTTTTAAAGCTCCATATAAGGTTATAGTATTGTTAAAAATGTAAATGTAACAGGCAACAACCGCCAGCTAGTGGCTATAAACGTTAGTTATATTTTACTAACAATAGTGATAATATTCAAGTAAAATTTATTGTTTTCTCCGTCACAGTACCAGTATAAGATTAATTTTAATTTCAATGTAAGAGACTACATTTTTCTTTAGAACACAACAAGAAATTAATATACAGTTAAAGGATCTATGCAAAGGTTTTTTAGTTGTATTTTGTTTTGTACATTGTCAAGCTAGTAAAATCAAAGTATAAAAGGGCATGAAAGAATATAATCTATGAAGTATAATTAGTTAGTGCGAGATTGATCTTATGGAAGTATATAAAACATAAATATTATTTTTATTGAGTATAAGCGATTATAATTTAATTATGATATACAAACGATTGAAACATGAACCATCTACCATTCCAACTAAATTTAACAATACATTGATTATATGTTATTTGGGCCATACATTTTTGCAAAAAAGAAAAAACCAGCACAATGGGGTCGGGGCATAGTGAGGATGGGCAGGTCACAGGTTTACAGGAATTTTTAAATCTGAACTTGAAAAAATCACTTTCAAAAAAATGCTTCGATGCAAATCAGTAGTTGGTATTTTCAAGCCAGTATAGTCCAAACCAAGCACAGTATAAACTAGCAAAGTTAGAAAGTATTAAATTCAGGTGCTGTATTTACAAATAAACATCAAAGAGTTTATTTGAAAGTGATTGATTCAATTTGATCACTTTAATTTTAATAATTCCTGTAGATTTGTGACCTCTACGGCCCCTCGTTGCTTTGATTTCATTATGCCTATACTCTACAGTACTAGTCCACTCGGATAAAATCACTTTCAAATAAACACTTTGATGCTTATTTGTAAATACAGCACATCAATTAAATACTTTCTAACTTTGCTAGCTTACACTGTGCTTGGTTTGGTCTGTACTGTCTTCAAAATACTAACTATTGATTTGCATCAAAGCGTTTTTTCGAAAATGATTTTATAACTTTGAGAATTAAAAATTCCTGTATGCTATATTCCACTATGCTTTAACCCCACTGTAGTGGTTTTTTATACATACATTCTAACTCTTAAAAACGTTATAAACGTAATGCAGTATGCTTAGAACGTTGTGTGTAAATAAAAAATTCGACGCGAAGATTATTAACAAATAGTCTTGGCATGTGTTTAAACAAAAAATTTAATTTAATAAAATCGTATTTAAATTGTTAAACACTGTCTTCCTCAGTTCAATTTTATCATCGAACAAATGTATTGTATTTCGTCTTTTTTTTATACGCCACGATAATGTTTTCGCATACTTTGAGTACAATACTAGTTTGGGTTTCTGTACTTTGTATTACACGCGCTGTGGTGGATGTTATGAGCGAATTAGAAAAATCACAACTAGCTAATCAATTAAACATGTTGCTACATCATAAGGGATGGCGGTTATTGGAAAACGTTAAAATCCAACATAATAGCAGAGAAGATAACTCGGATCCTATGACCGTAACACTCGAAGCCATTACGTCGAACCGGAACCCGGTCGACGAATCCAACGTCCTGAAAAGATACAAGGAGATCTGGACTGTGCTCATGTGTAAGTACAGTGACATTATACTTAAGTACAGGGTTCTCATAAATCATTTTATACGGGTTTGCCAAGACGAGAAAAGTACGCCCGACTCGTTTCAAAGGTATTACAACTGTTTTCGATTGTTGCTGATCAAACTCCACAGCATGACGCCGAGGTTTAAATGCATGACAGATGCATTGGACTTTTTCTACTCGATAGGTCCACAATCAAGACCTCAGCAGGGTGTAGTGCTCGCCACTCGAAAGTTGACCGAGTTTACTTCAACTATAATGCCAACAACGTTGTCGAAATTGTCCAAACAAGTTATCGACGAGGACGTGATCGATCTCGAAATTGAATACATAAGCGAATGTATGATGGTAATAATCAGAAATAGCATCTATAATTTTACCAAACGTTATTGCATCGGCAAGTCTCACAGAGATGTGACTACAAAGAAATTTTACAACGATATGGAGTACAAGAAGAACATTCAATTGATACCGGAGGAAACGACCATGGTTCAATATTTAGCTAATGAAATCGATTCTTACGTTAGTGAAATCTTGGACAGTTGTTTCTTCAATTTGGGCTTCAGATACGCGGTGGAGGATAAAGTTACAATTGGGACTAATTATTAAAATATTATTAGCACCGAAGGTAAACACCGAATAATCTAGATGATATCGTGTAATACAAAACTTATCAAATAAAATGTGGCAACGTGTTATTTTATTTTGCAACCTGATTCGTGTTCAACTAGACTAAAATAATTTAAGTAACCACGAAAAATTATGAACTTCATAAAAACATCACTGTCACGCAATTTAAGAAAATTTTAATAAACGGAAAACAAGATACACTGCTCGCGTTTGTCAATTACAAAATAATAAACATTCTCTTTGTTAAATTAGACTTGAAAATTTAGATTCTTCTATTGGATAAATAATCGAAATACTCTAAGGTGTTACCACTTTATAAACATTATTTATTATACTTTGAATTTAATTTGTGTTGTAACTTTACTGGTATATTGCACCTACACTATACCTGCAGCTACATATGAAACTTTAGTTTTGATATTTTTTTTCTAGTTGATACATCCAAATTCTTACATCTAAGTAATATCATTATATAACTTTTTTTTAAAACTTGGCATTATTTTAATCATTTACATGTAGTAGAATACATTTCTGGTTACACATTTACAAATATATCAACACATGAGTTTTTACTATTTATTGTTTAAATGGCTATTTATTTGATGATACCACAAATAAATTGATACGAAGTATATATATTATAAGATAACGTTGAAGTATTATTTTAAACGTCTATTTCTCTTTATATAATGTTGGTTGATTTGTTAATGTTTATATTTATTTAATTTAACAAGTTTTACTGTAAATTTAAAATGGAGAATCTATATTCCAATGATCTGATCAATAGCTGATTGTTTATATCATGGATATGTTACTGGGCTGAATACAAGAAATTTCCTATCACCATTTTCGCATTACACTTTCACGTGACAAGATATTAGAGATAAGAGAAAGTTTAAAAGAGGTAAAAGCACCTCCTACGATACTAAGTACTGAAAACGACCTCCTATTATGCGGTCATGAAATGACTATTGTTTCAAAACTTCTAACTATTTTTTCCCTTCCGTTATTATTTTACCATCTACTCCTTTTAGTATAGTGGCTTTATCTTTGTATTTTTTGTATTAAATTGATATGCAACAAATATTAAGGAATTGTACAAAACTGAAAAACCAACCCCTAATCACTCTTTTAATATTTGCTTACTCTGAAAATTAGGGGTAAATTGAAAAATCGATATCAGTTTTTTAAATTAGCGACCCTAAGAACATATAACTCAATATGAAAAATAATTTAAAGTAGCCTTCTAAAAACGCATCTCATTTGAAGGGAGGTAAGTAAACTTTGCTTTGGTAGTATAATAGTTAGTAAATATAAAATACTGAGATATAATATGGTTTGTCCCTTTGGTATAGCCGATAGCGTCAACACAATACACACCTATGCAACGTTTATTCACTCATCATTATTTTCTTACAAATTCACGATTAAAGTAGTTTGAAATATCCCTATCAATCGTTTAGTACAATTGGTAGCCTGTTAGAAACGATATCTGGTATATACCTAAAGCCTTGTGGTGAACTTATGGGTTTAGATGTAGCAGCAGCTGTACGTGAGTATTATAACTTTCCTCAAGTACGAATTTCATTGTTGATGTCACTGAAGCAACCATAACCAATAATTTTTTCTTATTGCGTTCTGTCGCAATGACGATTAAATCCATCAATCATTTTTCAGCAAGTCCTGTGTGAGTTTTAATAAGTAGTAGTTCTCCAATTACTTGTCATACCTAATACAATACAAACTTAATTCTTACGGCCGGACTGAAATAGACGTCTCAAATCGTGATCTATAGTTATACCAAACACCTGAAACACTTTTTCGCTTGCCACAGGATCAATGCTACCGGATGTCTTATGTGCTTCGTACAAACTAACAAACTTTTCTATTTGTGCTAGTGTTAGGCTATGGCTTTTAGCCTTACAATATATGGAAAAAGTAATATTACATTTGATTTATCTAATTTAGTACATTAGATGTTCAAGTATCATATTTTAGCTGTAAGAACTAAGAATCAGCTAAGTTGGTAAACTATAATACTTGATTTTAGGTATTATTTTTATAGTCACTTTTCATAATAACATAAATGATAAAATAATTTTGGCTTTTTTTTCACATAAAACTTTAGAGCATTTGAACTACGAAAAATGGTTAGGTGAAAACAGTAGTAATTTTCTTTTATTATAGAAATTACTGTGATGGCCTGACAGAAAAATATCAACCAATGGAGAATCATTATTGCCAACTGTATTAAGAAGTATATATTATAGTTTAAGCTCTAAATTAAGATTTTGAGAAAAATTGCCTACACTTCATTATTTAATAAATAGGTGATTTGAGTTGTTTTTACCCCCTCCTAACTTAGATTTTTTGATAGAAACTTTTGAATTTAATTGGTAACGTACATATTTTATTATATTTTTAAATAGAGAATAATGTATTACAAATTTTGACTGATCAATAACCAATTTCGCATAAATATTTTTGAAGTTAAAAGAGTTTAAAAGTAAGAATGGAAGGGGAAGTGGAGTGTAGTATTATTTTTATCTGCGCGCATCTCCCAACCGCATCCTATATTACACAACAAAATACAATTATAAAAAGCGTTATTGACTGTTTGAAAAGACGACTCGAGTTACAACCTATTACCAGACTAATAATATATTTTTTTATCCTGGAGTCCGGACTATTAACATTAGCTCCTCTTGTTAATAATACCCTATCCCCAAAATGTACATTCACAGGATCCTATCTGATGACAAACGATTTTTTGTAAATACATTATTATAAAAAAACTTTATCCTAACTCTTAAATACGTTATTATTGTAATGCAGTATGCCTAAAATGGTGTATGTAAATAAAGAATTCAACGCAAATATTATTAGCAAATAGTCATAACATGTGTTTAAACAAAAAATTTAATTAAATAAAATCGTATTTAAATTGTTAAACACCGTCTTCCACAGTTTAATTTTGTCATCGAATAGTTGTACTGTATTTAGTTTTTTTTTTATACGCTACGATAATGTTTTCTTTGAGTACAATACTAGTTTGGGTTTCTGTACTTTGTATTACACGCGTTGTGGCGGATGTTATGAGCGAATTAGAAAAATCGCAACTAGCTAATCAATTAAACACGTTGCTGCATCATAAAGGATGGCGGTTATTGGAAAACGTTAAAATCAAACATAATAGCGAAGAAGATAACTCGGATCCTATGACCGTAACACTCGAAGCCATTACGTCGAACCGGAACCCGGTCGACGAATCCAACGTCCTGAAAAGATACAAGGAGATCTGGACTGTGCTTATTTGTAAGTACAGTGACATTATACTTAAGTACAGGGTTCTCATAAATAATTTTATACGGGTTTGCCAAGACGAGAAACGTACGACCGACTCGTTTCAAAGGTATTACAACTGTTTTCGATTGTTGCTGATCAAACTCCACAGCATGACGCCGAGGTTTAAATGCATGACAGATGCATTGGACTTTTTCTACTCGATAGGTCCACAATCAAGACCTAAGCAGGGTGTAGTGCTCGCCACTCGAAAGTTGACCGAGTTTACTTTAACTATAATGCCAACAACGTTGTCGAAATTGTCCAAACAAGTTATCGACGAGGACGTGATCGATCTCGAAATTGAATACATAAGCGAATGTATGCTGGTAATAATCAGAAATGGCATCTATAATTTTACCAAACGTTATTGCATCGGTAAGTCTCACAGAGATGTGACTACAAAGAAATTTTACAACGATATGGAGTACAAGAAGGACAATCAGCTAATACCGGAGGAAACGACCATGGTTCAATATTTAGCTGATGAAATAGATTCTTACGTTAGTGAAATCTTGGACAGTTGTTTCTTCAATTTGGGCTTCAGATACGCGGTGGAGGAAAAAGTTACAATCGGGACTAATTATTAAAATATTATTAGCACCGAAGGGAAACACCGATTAATTTAGATGGTATCGTGTATTTCTGACTTATCAAATAAAATGTGTCAACGTGTTATTTTATTTTATAACCTTATACGTGTTCAATTAGACTAAAATAATTTAAGTAACTACGAAAAATAATGAACTTTATAAAAATATCATTGTCACGCAATTTAAGAAAATTTTAATAAATGGAAAACAAGATACACTGCTCGCGTTTGTCAATTACAAAATAATAAACATTCTCTTTGTTAAATTAGACTTGAAAATTTAGATTCTTCTATTGGATCAATAATCGAAATACTCTAAGGTGTTACCACTTCGTAAACATTATTTATTGACCTACACTATACCTAGAGCTACATATGAAACTATAGTTTTGATATTATTTTTCTAGTTGATACATCCAAATTCTTACATCTAATTAATATCAATATATAACTTTTTTTTAAATTTGGCATTATTATAATTATTTTCATTTAGTAGACTACATTTCTGGTTACACATTTACAAATATATCAACACATTTTAGTGTTTTCATCACGAGTTTTTACTATTCATGGTTAAATAAAAAATATGGATGTATACCAATTTTTCTATTGCTTATAATATGGATGTGGATAAATAGGTAGTACCTTTATATGAATGAGTAATATTGAAAAATTAATTAATAAAATAATATAGGTGTTTGATGCACTAAATATAAATTGTCCAGGCTTTAAAAAATTACATTTTAAACGCAGAACTGGGACAATGTAATTTGGTTATTTTTAGATGTTACATGCATACTATTCATTCTTGGTTGTTTACATGGGTTAAACAATTTTTCAAACTTTTCTATGTGAACAGAAATCAAGGCATTTACTTTACTTTAAACGACTATTTATTTGATGATACCACAAATAAATTAATATGAAGTATTGTAAGATAACGTTGAAATATTAGTTTTAATTAAAGTAGCCTTTGGAAAACTTACCTCGTTTGAAGGAAGGTGTAGAAATTTTGCTTTGGTAATATAATATTTAGTAAATATAAAATACTTAGTTATAATGTTGTTTGTCCCATTGGTATAGTCGATAACGACGACACAATACACACCTATGCAAAGTTTATTCACTTATTATTATTTTCTTATAAATTCACGATTATAATAGTTTGAGATAACCCTACCAATCGTTTAGTACAATTGGTAGCCCGGTAGAAACGAAATCTGGTATATACCTAAGGCCTTGTGGACAACTTATGGGTTTAGGTATAGCAGCTGCTGTACGTTAGTATCATAACTTTTCTTGGGTACGAAATTAATAGGTGATGTCACTGAAGCAATTGAAACCAATAATATTTCAGGTTTATTTGAATACCAAAGTAGAAATCAAAAAAATATATCTACCTATATACTTAATATTATACCAGCTATATTGTTAATCGTTATTGTTTATTCAATATTATATCAAATATATTATGATGGTGTTATCATAAACTTCCTTAACATGGGAAATTAACGTAGTATGTTCACTTTTCATGAAATTGTATATAACATGGCTGCATTGTAGGTCTAGACATATTTCAACCCGTGTCCTATACGACGAGTTCAGTGTTATTAATTGATTTTTTACATTTGTTATAATAATAATATTTATTTAGAACAAAAAAAATGATTACGCCCCTAAGGCAAAGAGTACAGTTTACGTTTGTAAAACAAAACAAAATAAATAAACAAACAAATCATTAAATCTTAACATTAACTCGACTGAACATAGCTCATTGGATCAACGAAAAAAATTGAAAATCGTTCATTAGGTAAGTTACAATCTATTGGTCGAAGCACAGGTATTAAAGACGAATCGATGCTGATCCGAATACACCCAAACGGACGATTTTCGAAAAACGCCAAGCAAATAATATTGATAGTGACTTCAGTGCGAAAACGGATTTGGATTCAAATACAAATGTTTGGCGCTTACCTAGTTCCGTATTTAGTTACTTAAGCCGGCACTCGACCGTACACTCTGCTTAAGGGTAAAACTAAAATGCGCTTCTATTGTCGAGTTTTATTTGTATATATTTATATATTATATTGTTTTTCATTGCGAGATTTTCAACATGGGCTATTGTCTCGTATGAAATGAAAAACGTCAGGGGTGCAGTACGGCCGTCTTGGAAATTAATTTGAATCCGTCGACGATTGAGTCAATGTGAGCTGCTGCTGCTGCTGCTGCCATTTTTCCCGGTATAGTAATTATCATAATGAATTGTTTGCCGTCGTTTGTCCGAGGCCGAACAATAAAGTAAACGGGCTAAAAAAACGCAGACGGAGAACAAGAAAATGCGACGAATATACATTCAAACACACACTTGTGAACTACTGGCGAGGGGTTATATTGTTGTAAAGTCGACCGACTAAAACGCGGTCATTGTACGGCAGCAACTACGGCACAGGACGAACGGAGAGCAAAAGCGACAATCCCATTAAAACTCCAAACTCGGCTTTATTATTATTAGAAGAAGAAAAAAAAATCACTGGCGAATTGTCACCGAACGAATACAGGCTGATCGATTATTTAACGTGAGGTATTCGTTGATGTTTAGGCGTCTCTTAAACTATTACATTTAACGTAGACAATTGAAATTTGGAACATTTGATCAAAACAAATGCTTTTGAGATCATCGTGTGGAATGTCAAAATGAAAGCCCGTCAAAGTACGCATTTTTAAAAATGTATAATAAGCTACTTGTTACTTTTTTTGACATGGATATGTCTTTTGGCTTGAGGTTAATAAAATAACCTGTGCGTCACGCTGAACGTTACCGAGGAAAATGTATGCGTATGGTGCGATCTATAGGTTGTTTTTATTTATTTATTTATTTATAGTACCTACACCGTGATGGTTTTTTATTTGAATTGTAGTTCTTAGAAATAACTGTAAATAACATATTGAAGGTTGTGTTGATTTTAAAAGTGTAGTGTTAATGTTAAAAAGGCATTTTTCAGCCGAGTCTGCAACCACGAAAGAGCATTTTCATGTCTCGCTGAAGTACCAAATAAATTTAGAATAGTGGTGGATTTATAGATAATGAAATAGTATATGAATAAGCAGTAACAAGCTAATATCTTAACATTTCAGACCACCTTAGCCAGGTTAATCCAGTGAATTCAGACAGAATGATTCAAACAAAATAATTAAAATTATATTCAATAAAATTATCGAGTTAGTCGTTTTAATTGTATTACATTTAAATTAAATTTTTAAAAAAATCCTGAATACACATACTTATTAATTAGCTGCAAGTGTTACCGACGAGTATTTAATTAAGTTAATTGTAACTTGTAGCCAAAGTTTTTGAGAGAAAAAAACACCATTTTAACATTAATTTATTAATGGGCTAGATACAAGAACTTTCAGTAAGAGACAAGATATTATAGATTAGAAATTCGAGATTTAAGATTGAAGACAAAAGATAAGTGATAGGTTAGGTAAATGATAATGAAAGAAATAAGATTAAATGTTTTTCTATGGAGCGGAGAATATAACAAGGTACTTTTTTTTTTACAATAATTTATTGTCCTTTAAGTCATTCCCTTTTTGTTCTTATTATAAAAGAAAAGAAATTAGAGATAAAAGATAAGAGATTAGAAAGTAAATAGATAAGAGAAAAAAGTTTAGGGATAAAAATAGAAATAAGATACTAGAGATACTACATTAGAGTAAACATATTGGAGATAAAAATAGAAATAATGGCTTAGAGATGAATTGAGATAATGTATTAGAGATAATAGTCTAAAGATAAAAGGATATAAGGTTATAAGGATATGAGGATAAAAGGATATATTATAAGGATACAAATTTAGTTTTTAAAAGGTTGAGCTGTTCTTACGGTGTGCGTCTCATATAAATGATCATCCACTACAGCTGCTGAATAATTCATAGTAAACTTACACAGAACCCTGGTAATTTGGAAGTGTGACACTGGCGGCCGTCAATTTGCAATGTATATTAATTGTACTTCATACAAATAAAAAGGTTATGTTTTACGGACCCGTATCCATATCCATGATTCAATGTTTTTCCGCGGAGCGAAGAAGATAACTAGGTTTTGTCTACAAATTTATGTAAATAAAGACATATGTTGCTATTTAAAAAAACCAAAAATCCCCCTTTTTTTTCTCTTTCTGTTTCAATGTCCGGGTTTTTTCGTGTAACTCCAGTTTTTCCTCGAGTAGCTCTAGTTTTTCCTCGAGTAGCTTATGTGTTTTTGCGTGTTCTCGTGCTCCTCTTTTCATTTTTCGCATCATCGACCTTGATGCTTCGTGCAGCGGCCAAGGCCTCATACCGGTTCTGTAGCGTCTCTGAGGTACCAAACCGGCAACGGTGGTCGGGCTCTTCAAATCGATTTCCCTTGGCCCAAGATGTCCAAACGGCTTGTTTGCAAATGCTGAAAACACCATTTTCTTGGTATCCGGCACGTGCCTAGCCATTGTCAACCACAAAAACTGCATCAACCATTTGGTCATTCTTAAATATTTGTTTACAACTTTCTATCGACTCCAATCCACAGGGGAAATCTGTATAATTTGTTTGCAATACCATATTGTTGTAAAAAATGTCAAAAAAAATGTTCTATCAGCCAGCACACGACTATTGTTGTTTTTTATCATCATAATACATATTTTATAATCATATTTTTACTCAGCCGAATAATAAAAAAAATGTATATTAATCTTTTGTTTATGATTATTTTTTCATGATTTGGATAACAGATCTCCTTACGTTGAGTTGGCCAAACGCTTTTCATTTTTTTAAGTCTTCTTAAAAAATAATATTTTTTTATGTTAAACAACCTAGATTTTAGACCACCGTTAAAAGACAAATGTCCTATTAAAAAATAAACTAAATATGACTAAAGATTCAACTTACAATTTGGCATTTTTTTGAATACATGTAGATGCATAATATTGTTGTAGAATATTTTCTATTTACAGTCACCAACACTTTACTTGAAAATAATTTATTTTATAAGATAACTATTTAAGCTAGAAAAGTTTTAAAAGAAAATCGAATATATTGAATATAATAAAGAATCGATAAGTGATAATCATGAAGAAATGACGATAAGTAGATTTGTGGAGAGAAGTGGCATGACTGGCCACCCCATATTTATGGGATGAGAAGGGGAAAAAAGTATTAAATTACCTATCTAAGTTATTAT